AGCTCTGTCTGGAATGTTCCAGACATTAAACAGCTCTACCTCATATTTATCTTAAATCTATTAAAGTACAGCTGTAAAATACCTATAAAAGCCACTATTCTGGCTGTGGGCAGAGTCACCTCTTCACAGATCTGACCTGCAACTTGGTCTGGTTTGGTCTCCATGAATAGAAACGTTTAATGCCATACTGTGAAACATTCCAGACAAAGCAATAACATCTACATGGAGAAAAAAACTTTGTAGAGGTGGTACACAGTCTGCATGACTCCAAGGAAATAGAAAGTTAAAATCGTACGACAGATACGTTTCGTGCTATACTGTGGAATATTACAGTCAAAGGAACATTTCCATGGCCAAAAGGCCAAATTGGAGTCAGGTCTGTGGAGATTAAACCTCTTTTTGTGTTTTTCAGGGCCAAAAAAATAACAAAAAAAAAACATCCAAAATGGATAAATGGTCTATTCTTAGGCTAAAAAGTTACACGGTGAAACTTAATGAATTCAAACTGATCATTGAACTTCTGATTGCCTTACGTACATGAGTGGATTCAGCAGACCAGATAACCTTGTCTTATCTAAACCTCGTTAGCCCCAGGCAGCAGACGTGCTCCTCGGGCTCGGTCACATATGGTCACACCGCGGCTGGAAAAAGGTCAGGGGCCCCGAGGTGATGGCTGTCAATCACACACACTGCACGGGGATCATCCTGGTTCAGAATAACAACCGATGGGACAGAGACCGGGGCAGCCTCCAGGAAAGAGTCTGCTCACATGTACCACCAGCGGGAAGTCAGCTATCACAGAAACAATTCACAACTAAATATTATATCCACACAATTAAAAGGTAAGCTGGCTGAAATCCATAAATATTCTTAAAATGTCTTTATTCACAATTGTTTTAAACTACTTTCAGACACCTGAGCTGTGCATTTTACATTTGATTCAAAATCGTACTGATATAAGAAATAAGTTAAAGTTTCTTATTTCTGTTCAAACAAAAGACGTAGTTTGCCAGAAGCAGTGGTGGATGAAATACTCAATTTTGTAACTTCAGTAAAAGTACAGATACAGGGGCAAAAATCACTCAAGTGAAAAATAAAAATAAAAAGTATCACATGAGAAAATCTACTATTAAAACTACTGAAATACATGCTTAAAAATGTACTTTGAAGTAAAAAACTCATCCCCTGATGTTCAAATAATGCTAAAACGGTAAATACAATCTGATTGAATAAATTAGTATTAGTATTAGTACTAATAAGTACATGTATTTTATTGTACTCATAAAAAAGTATTTTAAAAATTGCTCATCTTTCAGTGAAGTCTGGGAAACTTGGGTACTTTACCTTACCTTACTTTATGTTACTTTACTTTACTTTACCTTACTTTACTTTATTTTACTTTACCTTACTTAATTTTTTTTAAACTTTACCTTACTTAATTTTTCTTTACTTTACCTTACCTTACATTACCTTACCTTACCTTGTTTTACTTTACTTTATTTCACGTTACCTTACCCTACTTAACTTTACCTTACTTTACCTTTCCTTACTTTATTTTACTTTACCTGACTTTACTTATTTTGCTTTACCATACTTTACTTTGTTATACTTTGTTGTACGTTTCCTTACCTTACCCTACTTTACTTTATTTTTGTTTACTTTACCTTAACTTACTTGATTTTCCTTTACCTTACCTTACTGTACTTTATTTTTATTTTAGATTGATGGGGGTATAAGATCTCACAGAGCAAACCTACTGTTGCACAGGAAGAACATGCAAATACAAAAGTCTTGTCACTAGCTACTAAAGGCTCAAAACCAAATTAGTTCCATTCTGTCCCGAACCTGTCACAACCTCTCCACTTTCTTCTCCAAACCCTTTTTTGACATCATTTCGTTTGCCGTTTCAAACCTCTAAAAAAACGTTCACGGCGCTGTTCCGTTGCATCAGACATTCCCGTTGACATGCCGGTTATGAACGCTACAACCCCCTAGCGTCTTCGCGATGTACCATGACCGCGAAATAACACAACACAACGTACGCGCGGGGGGACTGACGAGGATTACCCGTGATCCGAGGATAATGAAAAAAAAAAAAAAAAGTGGCGACGCGAAATTAAATTCTAGGTAGGTAAGGGAGGTAGCGCTAGCATCACTGACTGTTGTGTTAGCTAGCCGACGGATTGCGGGAGAGAGGCGGAGGGTCTCGCGGGACGAGCTAGGTGATAGAAATCCGGTGTGAAATTCATTGTTGCTGTGGAGGCATGTGTCGCGCGTGATAAGTACAGATGAAGAAGAGGAAGTGCATGCATAATGGATGGAGCGTGCGGGGGAACGAGGAGTGTGAGGTGTAAACAAAGGAGCAGAGACGGTTAGTGATGTTTGAATGGACGAGTGAAGGACAAGGGAAAGTTGTAAAGAGATTTTCGACAAAGACAGAGACAGACTTTGACGACTGGACTCAGATAGGAGACATAGGGAAGTCCGATTCTTATGAGGGATACGGACACTGGAAAATAGAATGGATCAGATATTGATTCTGGATCTTCTGATGCAAATCCGGTTCCCAAATAACAGAAGCATATCGTCACCAACTTCAACTAAGTGAAGACAGGAATGTCATACCTCAGAACATCCACAATTCAGTCGCTGAATTTATTTTACAATCCAAAAAGATACCAAGTACTTCAACACAATTTATGACTTAATATCAGTAAATAAAGGCCTATAGAATTCAGTTTGCATCAAAGGAGCAGAGACGGTTTGTGATGTTTGAATGGAAGAGTGAAGGACAAGGGAATGTTGTATAGAGATTTTTGACAAAGAGAGAGACAGACTTTGATGACTAGAGTCATTTAGTAGATGTAGGTAGGTTAGATTCTTATGAAGGATGCTGATACTTGAAAATAGAATGGATCAGATATTGAATCTGGAGCTCTTGATACAAATTTGGTTCCCAAATAAACAACTTCAACTCAGTGAAGATGGACATGTCATACCTCAGAACATCCACAATTCAGATGATTAATTTATTTTATAGTCCAAAAAGATTCCAAGTAGAGCTAGCTCAATACAGCCAAAATGAAAACTGACACAATTTATGACTTAATCTCAGTAAATATATATAGGCCTATAGAATTCAGTTTTCAATAACAGAGCAGAAACGGTTAGTGATGTTTGAATGGATGAGTGAAGGACAAGCGAAAGTTCTAAAGAGATTTCTAACAAGGAGAGACAGACTTTGACGAATGGAGTCATATAGTAGATGTAGGTACGTCAGATTATTATGAGGGATGCTGATATTGGAAAACAGAATGGATCAGATTTTGACTCCGGATCTCCTGATACAAATTAAGTTCTCCGAATTGTCATGAATTGGGAACAGAAACTCATTTTCATCAATTTCAACTAAGTGAAAATGGATATGTCATTCCTCAGAACATTCACAGTTCAGATGCTGAATTTATTTTACAACCCAAAAAGATGCCAAGTAGCGCTAGCCCAATACAACCAAAATGTTAACTTCAACACAATTTATGACTTAATCTCAGTAAATATATGCCATGGGCCTATAGAGTTCAGTTTACAACAAAGGAGTAGAGGTGTTTGAGTGGACGAGTGAAGGACAAGAGAAAAGAGATTTCTAAAAAAATGAGAGAGACAGACTTTGACAATTGGAGTCATCTAGTGGATGTAGATAGGTCGGATTCTCATGATGGATGCTGACATGTAATAGAGCAGATATTGATTCTGGATCTTCTGAGACAAATCAGGTTCCCAGATAACAGAAGCATATTGTCACCAACTTCAGCTGAGTGAAAATGGACATATCATACCTCAGAACATCCACTATTCAGACGCTGAATTTATTTTACAATCCAAAAAGATACCAAGTAGCAAACGTGGTATCACAGACTGACAATTATGGTCATATAGTAGATGTAGATAGGTCAGGTTCTCATGAGGGATGCTGAGATGTAATAGATCAGATATTGATTCTGGATCTTCTGAGACCGGTTCCCCTATAAGTCATGTATTGGAAACAGAAGCATGTTGTCACCAGCTTCACTTAAGTAAAGATGGACACTCATTTATATTAGAGGGGCAAAAGATACCAAGTAGTGCAAGCCGAAAACAGCCACAATAGAAATTTCAACACAATTTACACAATTGACTTAAACTATAGAGTTCAGTTAACACTCCAGTAAATCTTGGTGTTGGTTGAGCGAGTATCAGTAAACACTCAAGACCAAGTTTTGTTCTTCTCAAAAGGGGAAAGAGGAGAAAATGTAGAGGCTGAGGAGGAAGAGGGTTCTACTGTTGCAGAGTATCACTGCTTGAATGAAACTGCATGGGTTGAATTTTATTACCTCTACTTACTGTCTATTACTGTCATAACTCATTTATAGAAGTTCTCATGTTGTTTAAATGGACGTATTCTGTTGGCTTGTAGATAACTCATATGGGAAAACAAAAAATGCATATTATGAAAATGTGTGATTATTGTCTTCTTTTAAAAACACGTGCTGAAATATTAGCTCACATTAAATCCAAAAACACAACCATGGCATTGAAATTAAACAAGATATTTCATTTAATTGTTAAAATCAATAAGGATAAACAGAATGCATTGACAGAAAGAGTTATAGATGTTCATCAGAAGTTAAAAGTTTGAGCTATCAAATCAAAAACTATGTCATCTTTACAGGAACCTTACGGCCAAAACTGCAAATTCTCAATTCCATAAAGTCAAACCAAAGACAATCTAAAAATACGGCATCTGCTGAAGGCCAGACTTCCAATTCCACATTTACAAAATAGAATTACCACAACTGTTAAAATATTATAACATCTCAAAGTCCAATTTCAAAAGTCCAAAGAGTTTACACATAAAATCCGCCAGTTTCTGTATCAAAGATCATGTCGTCATATCATAATTTAAAAAAAGCCAGGTGGACCGAAATTAAACCGCAACAACCATATTCCAACGCCATTCCTACCTTTCCGCAGCGGGAGGGCGTCCGTTGCGGTGCTTGTTGACCTTGGCGTACACGGCCTCCACGGGGGGTCCATTGTCCTGGTTGTGGAGGGGCGTGGGCGGGCTGTCGGGGCTCTGGGGCAGGTGGTAGTGGTGGTGGCTGTGGTCCAGGCTGCTCCCGTCCACAGAGGAGTCCAGGGACCCGATGCCGGCGTAGGTGTGCTCCTCGTCCGAACTGAGGGGGGGGCTCACCACGTCCTGGATCTCGGCGTATTCCCGCTCCTTGGCCTGGCGTTCTCGGAGTTCGCGCGTTTTGGCTTGGATTCTGTTGGAAGACAAGAGAAGATGTCGATATTACAGATCAGACAAGATACAGGTTCCACAAAACGAGATGTAATACGAGATCGACAGGAACGAGATAAGATAAGATAATTCTTTATTGTCTGCCATGGAAGAAATTTGTCTTGGGAAAGGAGATCACACGCATTATTACAAAGACAGAACAACACAACAACAAAAGCACCACATAAACACATATAGAACAGAATAGAATAATAAGAGACCAAGTATGACCACGAGTGATGCACGAACAAGAACCTTTGAGTCACTCTTTACAAGCAAGCCCTTGTATCTTGCATTCTTTTAATAATTGCACATTCCCTAAGCCTATGTGCAGTTTTGATTGCACCTTCCCTTGAACTGTGTGCAGTTTTTGATTGCATTGCACATTCCCTTGACCTATGTGCCGTTTTGATTGCACATTTCCTAAGCCTTTTACTTTTATTTTTTAACTGCACTGTCTGAGTTTAGCAGATTAATGACTAATGGCACAAAAGAATATTTGAATCTGTTCAGTTTACAGTCTGGGACCCTGAACCTTCTGCCTGACGCCATTAACTCAAACTGACTGAAAGAACATGGGTTGGGTCACTGGCACCTTCCTACCGAACAGTCTCCTCAAACATTTGCGGAAGTGAGCTCGGGGCCACATCTGTTATTTTACCTGCTCTTTTAGTCAAAGTAAAAATCTGTGATTTAAGTTTGACTGACTGGTTACCAAACCATGTTGACATGCCGTAACGTAAAACTGATTCCATACATGCTCTGTAAAACATCAGCATTACATTTGTATCCACACATGTAACGAGACAAGATTTTGTTTTAATAAATGTGTGTTCAGTCATGTTCAGTTCACAATTTTGTCTTAACTTTTTACTATTTAATATATAGTGTGATGAAAGATGAACTATGTAGCTTCTTGGTTTTTAGGGTCCATCACCTGCTTATTTCTATGGATATGTCATTGCTCTGCCTGGAATGTTCCACAGTGTGACATTAAACAGCTCTACCTTACATTTAGTCACTTACAGGTGGTTTTAGAGCTCAAAAATACCTCAAACACATGGATTCTGACCTGACCTGTAACTTGTCTGATTTGGTCTCCATGAAAATAGAAAAGTTTAATGCCATACTGTGAACTATTCCAGACAAAACAATAATATCTCCAGGGATAAAAGTTTGACAGACCCTTCACCAGAAAAGCTACACAATGCGCCTTTAACAAAATACTATAAAAGCTAGGACCCTATTTCGAGCCCTTCGCTGTGAGCATCACCGTGGCAACAGGTAAACAAATTAACTAGTGGTAGGAGGGAATAGCTTCAAGTAAAACAGAAATACAGTAAGTAATGTCTTTAACATCCATGCTCAGCCAAAAGATTATCACATTTAAAAGAGAACTATTTTCAGTTTGTGAGACCATGGTATAAGTGGATTAAACAACTCGCAGCACTGAGTTACACTGTTTTAACACACTGCTCAGAGTTGTTTAATCCTTACTTGTCACATTTGTGTTAGAGCTCCCTCTGCTGACAACAACAGGCATGAACTATTAGAAAAAAGCCTTTAAGCAGCAATTTAACAACAGGGCATCACATAAATCCATATGAACACAAATAAATGATTATATACACTATATGTAGAGTGAATGAATGTTCCACAGTATGACATTAAACTTGTCTTATTTCTATTTAGACTAGCAAGTAGGGCTGGGTATCATTAACAAGTTGCTGATACGATACATACCTCGATACATAGACCACCATCATATCTTGATACAGTGAGCTTTCAGTTCAACACGATATATTTCAAACTGATTTGATATGGTTCAATAAAAAATAAAGGCTAAATCAAGGCTGTGATACTTCTCGTGCAAAGATCATATGAAACAAACATTTTAATCCTCAAAACAGTGAAAATGTGTCACATGAATGAGTTTCCTTCCTCTGAACAAACAACAAAACTGTAGCTGTAACAAAATAATTTAGTAAAGTATACCAGTACGATACCAGTATCAATACTGTGGGCTGCTGTGTCAATATCAATACAGCAGCCCACAATATTGACACTGTATCATCACATTAAACGATACATTATATCAATATTTCGATATTTTTGCACACCCCTTTAAGCAAGTAACACCACCAAGTCAAGACAGATAGATATTTTGAGCATAGAAACACATGTAATTAACTGCGGAATATTCCAGGCACAGCAATGACTAGTGACTAGAAAAGTTACAAATCGTACCTTGAACATAAAATTTCAATAAAACCATCCCAAATGAGCAGAAATACATTACATTTCCAATTTGGAAAAGCAAAAAGAAAAAACATACTGATTTAAAAGTGCACTATGTAACTTTTTGGTTATGGGTCCATCACCTGCTTGTTTCTATGGATATGTCATTGCTCTGGAATGTTCCACAGTATGACATTTAACATCTCAACCTTACATTTATTCAATTACAGGTGGTTTTACAGCTCAAAAATATCTACAAAAACAGGCATTCTGACTGTGAGCGGGGTCCCCTCTCCACAGACCTGACCTGTACCTGGTCTAGTTTGGTCTTCATGAAGATAGAAATGTTTAACGCCATACTGTGAAACATTCTTAAGCAATAACATCTCCATGGAGAAAAGCATTTGACGGAACCTCCACCAGAAAAGTTACACAATGCACCTTTAAAGTAAAACTATCTAAACAAGCAGTGCAGTAAGTACATTTTATAATTCTACGGCATACTTTTTTTTTTTTTTTTTTGCATATCAGGAATAATATGAAAATGTCAAAAGAGAATTCTCAAACTACTAAAAGGGAAATGGTTTTCTTTTCAACTTTCAAGCCTTCAAACTCTATAATTTAACATTTTTATATATATTTTTTTTCAGCCTTTCCGTTGGTTCTTAGTTCTAAAACATACAGTATTTCACCGTGAATAACACAGTATGAGGAGAATGCAGTAATTTGATGTAGTTGGAGTGGTTTCCGGTGCTCTTCAAATGCCTCTGCTAATGCTTCTTTTCTTAGGCTTTGTGCATGTAGCATCCCGGTTGCTATGGCGACGCGTGGTTATTACTTCCATACGAACAGAACATTGAACACGCTTGTTTCTCTTACGGAAGTTTGTGAAGTGGTGAAGAAAGAACAAGTGCTTTGGAAATGTTCCGAGAGAGTTACTCATTTTTTCGACAATATTTCAAGGTAAAAATATAAATATATATTTAAAAAAATCGTTGAACCTTTTTGAAAATGCAGCACCCATTGAATTTCAAGGGCGACTTCGTCATCGTCCTCTCATAGCAAAATCACAAAAACTTTATAGAATTTTGAAAACACAATTATTTTCTTGCTGTAATCTACTTTTTTAAAGAATCTGAAAATGTAAAAAAAGAATAATACAATATAATCCCTATATTTTTTGGTCATAAAATCAGACAAAGTTTATGATGACATAATAAAACTGTGATACAAATTACAATGTGCTTCTGTTGAAATATTTTAAAAAGTAAATTTGCGATTGTCATACTGAACATGATAATTTCTACAATGGTGACTGGTCCCTTGAATTCCCTGTATTACAATGAATGAATAAATAAATAAATAAATGAATGAATAAATAATGAAAATAATTTTGCTTATACAGAGGTTTCAGCTTCCTGTTATATGCAAGATTTTTCCAATACATGCATCACGAATTTCGGACTTCCGGTCATGGCGCAATGCATACTGGGATGAATTTTTCGAAAAAGTGAGCATCAAACCGCCATGTTTGATTTTCCACTGTCAAAGCCGATCTTTTCAAATCTTTTGAACCATATCGCTTTTGTTTCTGGTTCTGATATTGTCATATTTTAGTTTTGGGATTCAGACATCGTAATTGTGTGGTTGTTGAATGTTCTAAAAGCAGAAAACAGCTCGAGAAACGGGCTTCAGAAGTTTGCAAACTCCATAGATGCAAAAGGGAATCAGATGTGTGTGACTGCAAACCTCTGTTCAAACTGTTTCCCTTCTCAACGGAATTGAAAAATAGTGAAAGGCGAAGGCGCTATGGCAACTACGTGTGTGCAAAAATATCAAAATATCGATACCGTATCATTTAATATGATACAGTATAGATATTGTAGGCTGCTGTATCGATATATTGCCAAGAGTATTTTTTGGTATATTTTACTAAATAATTTGGTTACAGCGCTACAGTTTTGTTGTTTGCTCAGAGGAAGGAAATGTTTATGCAGCACATTTTCACTGTTTTGAGGATTAAAATGTTTGCGTTTCATATGAACTTTGCACAAGAAGTGGTTTCACAACGACTTTGAGTGTCAAAGCCGTGATTTAGCCTTTGCTTTTTATTGAAACATATTGAATCGATTTGAAATATATTGAATCAAAAGTACACTGTATCGGGGTATGTATGGTATCGTGGCCTGTGTATCGAGATATGTATCGCATCATGGGCTGTGTATCGAGGTATGTATGGTATCGTGGCCTATGTATCGAGGTATGTATCGTATCGTGGCCTATGTATCAAGGTATGTGTCATATCGTGGCCTATGTATCGAGGTATGTATCGTACTGGCAACTTCTTATTGATACCCAACCCTGACAACAGTCCTAAATTTTCATGACTCTGAAACCCATGGACAGATTGTTGAAATGACATCTGAAACCTGTTGCTAAAGCTGGACTAGCGGACACTCCTTTGTCCCCTGACCCTCCGTCCCTCCCTCCCACACGCTGGTCTCTGTGGGTGGGATGCCTCGTGGACAACAGAGCCTTTGACTGGGCCTGTCTCTGTCGATGGAGGTGGACAGAGGAGGATGTGACCTCTCATTATTCTGACCCGGAGCCTTCACTAGATCCAGATGTGCTAACTGTGCCAGAGGACACGACACACATGTACACACATACACGCAACTGCTATTCTGGGAAAAAAAGGATCAGTCAATGTTTAGCAAATGTAATGAACTAATTATACTGTATACC